AAGGGAAAAGAGGCCCTATCTTCATAAGAAGGAAAGAACAAGTACATGCCTGTGTGACTCTGAGCCCAAGAGTAGAGCAGGAATTAATTTCTAACCTTTAGTCCTGCACATCAGCCTACAATGGAATAAACTGGAGTAAAAGACCAAGACCAAGGAGGAGCCAGTAGTTCAGACGCTCAGAGCCTACAGAAACTTCCAGCATGCCAATAGTGATGGAGTGCCTCAATAGTCTATAACAACTCAACCACACATAATCCTAAAGAGTGAACTGACCTCTCCTCGGATCATACCACTTTGGAAACATCAAAAATTTGCAAGCAGCCAAAATGAGGTGTGAAAGCAGGAAAAGGACAAAGAAGATAGAGGTTCAGGCCTGAAATAGAACAGAACCAAATGAATAGAACCAAATACCATACAGAATCCAAAGTCAATAAGTAGGTTGGAAAAATTAGCAAAGAAAAACAAAACCAAAAAAAGAATCTAATCATAAAAAGCTACTATGGTGCCACAGAAGCTCAAGACACAAACAGAAAAAGGCAAAGGTGGGGCAGCTAGGTGGTGCAGTGAATAGAGCTCTGTCCTTGCAGTCAGGAGGACCTGAGTTCAAATCCAGCCTCAGACACATAACATTCACCAGCTGTATGACCCTGGGCAAGTCACTTAACCCTGATGGCCTCACAGAAAAGAAAAAAGAAAAAGACAATGGTTTGAAAATGTCAATAACTAAACCTCAAAAAAATGTAAATTATACAGAAGTTGAACAAAAATTTCTAGAAAATTTAAAGAAAAAAAATTTTAAAGAGCAAAAAATGGTTTGAAAACAAATAAGAGTGGTAGATGATAAATTGGGAAAAGAAATTAAGAGCTATGCAAAAAATTATGAAAAGAGAATTAACAGCTTGGTAAAAGCAATATAAAAATGCTGAAGAAAATAATGTTTTAAAATCAAAATTGATCAAATGGTAAGTGAGGTACACAACCTCACTGAAGAAAAAAACTGCATGAAAATTGTAATTGGCCAAGTGGAAGGTCATGACTCCATGAGACATAAACAATAAGACAAAGTCAAAAGACAGAAAATAATAGAAGAAAATGTGAAATATCTTATAAGAAAAAAAAACACAAAATAACTGAGCTGGAAAATAGATTAGGGAGAAATCATTTAAGAATCATTGGATTACCTAAGAGCCTTGAGCCAAAAAAGAGACCAGGCACCATATTTCAAGAAAATGTAAAGGGAAAATTACCCAGTTAGCTTAGAACCAGAGGGGAAAGTAGAAACTGAAAGAATGCATCAAGCACCTCCTAAAAGAAATCCCAGGAAAATCAGAGCCAAAATTCAGAACTTTCAAACAAAGGACAAAATCATTACAAGCAGCCAAAAAGAAAGGAGCCACATTCAGGATCACACAAAATTTACCAATTACCCCTTTAAAGGAGGGCTCGTAGGTGGCACAGTGGATAGAGTGCCAGTCCTGGAGTCAGGAACACTCATCTTTCTGAGTTCAAATCCAGCTTCAAACACTTACTAGCTATGTGACCCTGGGCAAGTTGCTTAACCCTGTTTGCCTCAGCTCCTGACCTGTAAAATGAGGTGGAGAAAGAAATGACAAACCTCTCTAGTATTTTTGCCAAAAAAACACCAAATGGGGTTACAAAGAGTCAGACATGACTGAAACTACTGAGTAACAACAACAATTTAAAGGAACAGAGGATTTGTAATATGATTTTGCAGAAGGCAGAAAACTAGGCTCAAAACCAAGAATAATATCCCACAACACTGAGCACAATCTTATGGGAGTGGGGGGACAGTTGATGTTTAATGAAGTAGATGACTTTCAAGCATTCTTGATGAAAAAAACAGAGCTGAATAAAAAACATTTGATGTTCAAACCTAAAACTCAGGAGAAGTATAAAAAAGTAAACATGTCTGGGAGGGACTAAATGAGATTAAACTGTTTACGATTCTATGTGGGAAAATGACATATATTAACCCCTCAGAAGTTTTTCATCACTAGGGCTGTTAGAGGGATTTTACTTAGACAGAGGGCACAGGTGTGATTCTATCTCAGAAGAAGAATGGAAGAGTGAGGAAAGGGAATGAGGGAGAGGGGAGAAAGGAGGGAAAGAATAGAAATAGGAAAAATTATCTCACATATATGGAGTGCGCAAGGAAGAATTTATATAATAGAAGAGAGAACGAGGGGAGGAGCAGGCAATATATGAAACTCACTCTCTTCTGAACTAGTTGAAGGAGGGAAGAATGTATATACACATGCAGTTGAGTACAGAAATTCATCTTACCCAATGGGGAAATAGGAGTGAAAGGGGTAAGAGAAAAAGGGGAAGGATAAGAGAGGGGAGGGTAGATTAAGGAAAGCAGTAGTAGGGGACAGTATAAAAAAAAATAGGACAAATATCATAGACTAGGATAGAGGGAAATACACAGCAAACATAGCTATGAATTTGAATGGGATGAACTCACTTAAAAACAGATGAAGATAGCAGAATGGAATAGAAACCAGAATCCAGCAATACGTTGCTTACAAAAAAACAAACAAACAAGCGATAAAAGCCACTTGAAATATGGAATTAAAATAAAGAGACTAAAAAGTAGTGGTCAGATAGGTAGGAGATTGAGTAGAGAGTAGTGAGAGAAGAAAAGAGTGAGTGACAGGGAAAACCTAGAGTTGAGAGAATATCAAGAAGAAGGTGGTTCCAGTTTGAAAGACTGCAGAGAGAGGTCAAGAAGGAAAAGCGCTGAGAACAGTCCATTGGATTTGCTGAGTTTGAAATCACAAAGAACTTTGGATAAAACTGTTTCAGTTGAATGAGAGAGCTCAAGAAATTTACCGTGGTGCACAAAGATACAGACCGGATAAAAACCCTATAACAGCATAGCCAGGTGTGAAGATGTAGAGATTTGCTTAAGGTGAAGAGGAAGCCCCTACCCTTGTAATGTAGGCAAGGCCATCACCTCTCTACTCCATGTCTCTTTGTATAAAGCAGGGCCTCTTTGGTCACTGTCCTTAACTCCACCCCCATAGATTTCTATGTGCATATTTAGATGAGGAAACAATGAAGAGGGCAGATGATTTAACATCACCAGTTCCTCTGCCTGCCTCATCAGACCACCACCAACTTCCTTTAACCCCCAACTGGGAGAGAACCGGATTCAGGTTTGTCCTAATTTAGAAGGTTTATAAAAAATGAGATAAATATTAAGATTCCTTCATAAAGGGTGCAAACCTCTGACCCTTTATCACTTTCAAACTTTGGTAACTACAGTGCTTTCATCTTTCTGCAACTCTCTAGGGCCAAGCCCTTTTCAGCTTTTGGTGTCCATCTCTTACCCAATTCTCACCCGTGGCTCCAAGAAGCTATAGCACGTACAGTGGCCACACTCTGGTAAAACTGTCTCTGCCGACGAGCTAAAGATAACTTGAGGGTAATTTACAGACCTCAAACCCTTTGGTGAGTTAGGGGGATGTCTACCCCAAGCATGTGAAGACGTTACCCCAGCAGACTGGGTGGAAGAGAACAATTATTTCCAACTGCCACGAAGGCAGCTGAAGCAGGCGCTGTGGAGCACTTAGAATTTGGTTAGACATCAAAGACGCCAAGGCCATCCATTGCATCTTGAGCCGTCACTAGTTGTCCTGCCACTGGACTTTGATGGCTCTGGAAGAGAGTGAGGTTGACGACTTTGTACAACTCTGCCTCACTTAAATCCAATTCATGTGCATGTCAAGACATCGCGGTGATATCAGTGGTCCTCTTCCAAAACAAAGGATGAACAACATAACAACATAACAAGCTCTCTGTTCACAAATAAAGATGCCCTTAAACCAAATAAGGTATGATTGATGATATCTTTATCTAAACCACCCATGATACCAGTTAAAAACATAAAACACACATTAAAGAATAGGAAAAATTTAGAGTGAACAATATAGGGCAACAATTTTGGACAGCAGTAAGGCTGGGTGATTGGGAAAGGAAATGCAGAGTACTTTCCCTTATTGTCCCGCCCAAAGAGACAAGTACCACAATCATTATTAGTCTCTTTCAGTTATACCTTTGCTTGCAGTCCTGACAGGTAGAAGTGGCTGCACCATCTAGCTGTCTCTATGCCATTCTTTGTGTGTCTTTTTGTCTCTGTCTCTCTGTCTGACTCTCTCTTTCAGGGACAAGCAAAAATGAAAATGCTTTTGCCATGTGGGCACTAAGTTCCCCAAATCCTACTAAGCTTGCTCATTTACTGCTTCCTCACTTCTCAAGATGTTTCCCTAACAGCACAAGGGGAAAAAACCAAAAACAAATTGTTGCTTTTAGACACAAGTCGTCCCAACCTAGGGTCTTCACACACCAGAAAGTTCAGTTTCAGCAGCAGAATTTTATTCCTCGGTTTGCAATTTTTCACAATTGAGAAATACTACAAATTACACTCCAGAACAATACATACTGAACAATACTTACTGGAATTTCACAGCATCTTGCTGTTGCTATTTTTCTTTAGCTATTGTAACTATTCTCCAGGACATATAGCTTGGTGACTGCATATTAACAACTTATCCTTACCATTTTCTTTTCTATTTAAAAACCTTTTTGGTTAGATGCTAAGCCAAATACATTTTTACTAGCACTTGTTAGATACCCTCAATCTTTGGCCAAGAACCAGTGAGTAAGCTGTTCCAGAAGATCATGGTACTTCAGTTTCAATTAAGCATGTGCTGTTTTAATTCTAGAATCTTTTCCTCTGTCTAATCAAAATAGAAAAAGGAGATTGAGGTAATGCAGATAATTCAATAAAAATAAATGTCATCTCCTTTTCTTGATACTTATTTCAGCTCCTCTGTTTGAAAATCATTAGCTGGTACTTAGGGTCCCCATTTGCAAAGGATGATATCGCTATGTGTCATTTGAACAAATAAGTTTGAAAAAGTACAGAATATTTTCTCTGTTATCTTTCTACTGCTACATTCTTTCTCTCCTTACAGAAATCAAAGATATCCACTTATGAGAAAATGTGGGCTTTCATGAGCGGCAGGCAACAGACAGCCTTGGTAAAAAACAATGACGAAGGTATCCAACGTGTGCTCACCACCGACTATGCTCTACTGATGGAGTCCACTAGCATTGAGTATGTGACTCAGAGAAACTGCAACCTTACTCAGATTGGAGGACTCATTGATTCCAAAGGTTATGGAGTGGGAACGCCCATTGGTAAGATGGTAAAGGTACATGACTTGGCACTGGATGCCATCATTCTGGTTAGGAAGATAGAAGTGAGCTAGGAATAAGTTCTCTTTGCCCTCTTTTATTTCATTAGTCAACATAATTGAATTATCATGTGTTATTTTAGTACCTTATATATTTAACCTAGGCTTCAACCAGTATTCCCTGTATAAAGTAAGCCTGCTGCTTTTACAGGTTTTGTGTATGTCTAAATATGGCTCCTGGTCAGGTTTTGATAAATAACTCAGGAAACTCACCTACCTTTCTTCCAGGAAGACTTTAATGACTACCTGGAGGAGAACAGGAGAATGCATCATCAAGTTATCTAGTCTGCTCTCCTCAGAAAGGTGGTATTGGGCTAGAATTAAATCTATCTAGTTTCATTTAAATGTATCCACTAAAAGGTAAGACGTAAAGCTTATATCCAAAGGCTCAATTCCCTTGCCACTAAACGCTAATTAGACAAAAGACAACCACAAATAGTAAACAGCAAATAAATCCATTTGTCTAAGCAAACAGAAGTCAGAGAATTTATACAGATTAGAATATTCAGTTAATAAATAGTTATTAAGTACGTACTGTGTGCCAAGCACTGTGCATGAATAAAGGCAAAAGACACAATCCCTGCTCTAAAGAAGCTCACAGTTTAATGGGGAAACAGCATACAAACAACAATGTACAAACAAGCTTTATACAGGACCAAATAGAAAAAAAAACCATTAAACAGTGAAAGCACTAGAATTAAAGGGGAATCAGAAAAGAGTTCTTGTAGAAGGTGAGATTTAATTAATATTTGAAGGAAACAATGGAAACCAGGAGTCAAAATTGAGGAAAGAGAGCAACCCAGGTATGGGGAACAGCCAGTGAAAATATCCCAAGTTTGGAAATGGAGCGTCTTGTTCAAGAAATAGCAAGGAGGTCAGTGTTACTGGCCACAGAGTGTGTGGGAAAAGGGAAGATAGGATGAAAGAAGACTGAAAAAGGTGGGGGATGAAGGGAAGGTTATGCAGGGTTTTGAATGCAAAAAAAATCAGATTTTCTATTTGATCATGGAGGTGATAGAGAGCTAGTGAAGTCTACTGGCTGAGGGGAGAAGGTGGGTTACATGATAGGACTTGCACTTTAATAATATCATGTTAACAGCTGAGTGGAGGAAGGAATAGAGTGGAGAGATACTTGAAGCAGGCAGACCATCTGGAGGCTGGAGTATGAAGTAATGAAGGGCTATCCCAAGCAGTTTCAGAGGAAAGAATGAGTTATATATGAAAGACTTAATGAAAGTAAAAATCAATGTGTCTTGGTAGCAGATTGGTCCAACAAATAGGGGGTGAGAGAGAGTGAGGAACTGATGAAATCTAGGTTGCCAACCTGGGTGACTAGGAGGAGGACACTCAGTTGTAATAACAAAGTTAAGAACAGGGGAGAATTTAGGGGGAAACATAATGCGTTTCAGTTGGTACATGTTGTATTGAAAAAATGTCTACAAGCCATCCAATTCTAAATCTATACTACAAGCTGGAGAAGGAAGTCTAGAGGTGAGCATAGAGATTAAGGCTTCAAAAGTAGAGAGAATCACCAGCACAGAGATGATATTTGAATACACTGGAACTTGTGGGATTAGCAAGTGAAATAGTATTTTATTTAGGGAAAAGAGAAGATCCAGAATATAGAGCTTGGTAGAAGACTCCCAATTAGCATGTATGACTTGGATGAGAAAGAGACTGAGGAGCAGTGAAATGGGTAGGATAGAGAACAGGAACCAAGAGGGTGGTAGAAAATGTCAAAGGCTACAGAGATGTCAAGAAGGATGAGGACTGAGAAAAGGCCATCATAATTGGAAATTAAAAGGTCACTAGTATATGAAGAAAGCAGTTTTGGTTGAATGATGTAGTGTGAAGCAAGACTTGAGAAAGTGAAGAGAGTGAGTGGAAAGGAAGTGGATGCACCTATTATACATGACCTTCTCAAGGAGTTTAGCTTTAAAAGGCCAGAGAGATACAGGACAATAGCAGGGATGGCTACATTAAGTGAGGCTGTTTGAAGATGAGGGACACATGGACATATTTGTAGGCAGAAGGGAAGCAGCCAAGGAACAGGGAGAGATTGAAGATAAGTGAAAGAGAGGGTCTAATCTACTGGACGATACAACATGGAATGGAATACTTATGCCTGGAGTCAAGAAGACCTGAGTTAAAAACTGGCCTTAAACACTTACTAGATGTGTGACCCTGGACAAGGGATGAGTTCCTCAGTTCCTCATCTGTACAACGAGCTGGAGAAGGAAACCACTCCAGTATCTCTGCCAAGAAAACTCCAAATGGGGTCACAGAATCAGACACAACTGAAAAATGACTCAACCACAACAATTCTGGCATCATTCATAGTTACGTAGCATCACCAGGAGAATATTAGTGTTAAAGAAATGGATTTTTGTTGTAGCAAGAAGGCTGAGATCACTAAAAGCTCTGAAAATACAACAAATGCAGTCCATCTTTTTAAAAATTTTTTTTTTAATTTTTAGGCAATCAGGGTTAAGTGATTTGCCCAGGGTCACACAGCTAGTAAGTGCCAAGTGTTTGGTCTGAGGCCAGATTTGAACTCAGGTCCTCCTGACTTCAGGGCCAGTGCTCTATCCACTGTGCCACCTAGCTGCCCCAGTCCATCTTGATCTACTATGCAATGCTGGCCCCACTTCACTATCTATTTGATCTATCCAAGATAAAAAAAAACAGTGATTGACTAATTCAATAGGTTTCCTTGTACAATTACAAGTCATCATTTGGGAAATATGCATTTTAATCCACTTTGGTACTATCCCAAATAATCAGACTATACAAACATGGAAGAATGGTTGAAATTAGTGGACTACATATGAAGCTCACTTTTATATGAAGGAGTGTTGAATACACACAAACACAAACATACAGTTGTGCTTATTATGTGACCTTAGTCCTTTCTTTAAAAATTCTTGTCTGTCTGATTAAATGATTCTTACCTAATAATTTTGGAGGGAAGCTCATAAGTGGGGGCTTGAGTCAGTGACATTAATGAGAATCGCCACCAACTCCTCAGAGGCACCCCCAAGAACCTGACAGGGAGATTTATCTCTGAGTATGAAAGTGGGGATGAGTATCCTCAGAGCTTAAATGGGATCCATATATTTGATCAGTAATATTGACCACATCTCTCTGTCTTTCAACCCTTTATTCTTTATGAAGAGGTGGTTGAGGAAAAAGTGAGGCAAATGTATAAAAAGATATGATGAAGGGAAATAAGCAGTGATAATGGGATGAACTCACCTATAAAATGGAGGAAGATAGCAGAACTAATCATAAAGCAGAACCAACAAATTGTTGTTTACAAGAAATATTTTAAATAAAAATATTCACATAGAGGTAAAATAAAGAATGGATCAAAATCCATTCTGCTTCAGCTGACCTCAAAAAGGCAAAGCTATCAAACATGATCAGAGACAAGGCAACAATAAAAACCAACTTGATTAAAAGAGATAAACCTAGAACTCCATTATACTGAAATGTACCCTAGACAATAAATTAATATTGTTACTTAACAATTATGCACCAAATGGTACAGCATCTAAATACTGAAAGGAGTAGACTGGAAAGAAGGTGAACTAGAAGGAAGACTGAAAGGAGTAGAAAGGAAAGATGGTGGACTAGAAGGAAGGAGTATAACACAGTTCTCCACTACAACAAACATCTAGGAAGAGTTTCAGACAGAGGAAATCCATGGAGATGCCACAATAAATCATTTTCCAGGCAAGTTCAGCATAAGAAAACAGCCAGGGGCCTGTGAGCATTGAAGATTAGATAGATAGATAGATAGATAGATAGATAGATAGATAGATAGATAGATAGATAGACAGATAGAAAGAAAGATAGAAACACAGATAAATCTAGATCTATCTATATATATGCAGCATCTGTATACTAGGACAAGTAGTAGGGAATAGGAACCTTGCAGGAAGCAGTAACAGGGGACACCCAGCAGCTGTGTGACTCTGAAGCTGAATCTAGGTCATGGATACTGTAGTTCAGGCATTTATAACAAAGATGGGGCTCACAGTTCAGATTGCCACTATGTTAGCAGGCACAGAAGTAGCAATAGATCCAGCTTATACCTGGGCAAACAAAATAAGTAAGCTGTAAGGAAGTTAAGGCCAGAAAAATAAATAATCAGATTAATTTACAGAAAGAAATATTCTGTAAAACAATAATAGTTGAGAATTTCAGTGCACCCCTCTCAGACATAGACAAATCTATTCAAAAGATAAACAGGAAAGACATTAACAGACTGAACAGAATTTTTATAAAATGAGATATGATAGTTCTCTGATCATTATTGGCTGGGAACACAAAGGAATGTATATACATATATAGGTATGCATATACCTATATATGTATATATCCAAAAACACACACATTACACACGCATGCACACACACACACACACACACACACACACACACACCTTCTTCATATAGAGATATTTCTCAGCTGTGTATGACTCACAAAAACTTACAATGGAGTTAGGGCATAAAAGCTAAACTTTAAAAAATATTCAACTAAGTGTCACTGAATAGGGTATTAAAAATTAGAGACTAAATAACTTAATCCTAAAAAGATAGTCATGGGTCAAAATATAGATAAAATAAATAATAGAAAATTTCAGTAATGAAAATGACAATGATGTGACTACATACCAAAACTCAATATACTGAAGGGAAAGTTAATATCTCTAGAAACATTCATCAAGAAAAAGAGAAAGAACAAATAAAAGTGTTGGGTGCAACCATAAAAAAAACCCTAAACATTAAATAACTTTAAAAATCTCAACTAAATGCTGAAATGGAAATTCTAAAAACTTAAGAAAATTAAAAGCAAAATAAAAAGTTGAATGAATAAGCAAAATGAAATTTTAAAAATAAAATAAGTGAATCATTATCCAGCAAAATTGTTTAAAGGAAA